CTTTAATTTCTTTTTCCAAGAATTCTAAATCATCTGGTGATACTCTGTAGGCTCGTTGTTTAATTGGTTTAGCACCAGGAGTGTTAGTTTTATGGCAAACTTCTTTGGTTTGTTCCAGTTCTAAAGTTTGTTTTTCTTTAGAAATATTTTTAGCAAAAATTTGGTGGTTATTTAGAAGAATTTCTTTAGCTTTTTCTCTTTGTTGTCCATTTAAAGAAGTATTAATAGTTAGAAGAGGTGTTGTAGAAACTTCAGCAGTCAAAACAACATATACTGCAAGGTTGTTGTCAGAAACAATATCAGTCCAAGGGTTGTAGAATAAGAGGTCATCATCTTGGTCTCCTTCTTCAGTATGGTAGATTTCTGCTTCATCTTGTTTTTCGATTTCATTAATCTATTTATCTTCATCTGTGAATTCTTCAAATTCATCAGATATTGGCTCTCCACTAACATGAATTGTATAGATAGTAGCTCTTTTTTCCAAGTATTTAATCTTTAAGATATGGTTATCAAAGTTTAAAGTGGCTCTGGATTTTATAAACCAATCCGTTCCTAACAAGAGAGTTTCATCTTTGGACTCGATTACTTGCAGGTCGATAGGAATTGCAATATTTTAGAATGCAATATTCACATCACTAATTGAGCCTAGAGCTTTTTCTCTAGCTCTGTTGGCAGCTATTACAATAGTTTTAGATTTTTTAGTAATATGTAGTCCTAGTCTTTGCAGTAGCTTCTTGGTAATTATGCTAACAGCAGCGCCAGAGTCAAGGATAGCAACTACTGGTTGTTCTTTAATATTAACATGACATCTCATAGCAACAGTTTTCTTTGTTGGACCCAATTCCAAGTGGCTAGCTTCAGTAGTTACAACAGTTTTTTTTTCATTGTCTGGGCAAGATTTTTATATTGGTTAGGATATTGCAATAGTTGTCTATATGTGGCTTGAGCAGGTCGATTTAGCAAATCTTTTGCAATATCATAGGGTTCAAGTTAGTTGATTATAGAAAGTAATTTTTTTGCTAGGCTTCTCTTTGCTTTAGTTGCTTTTAGTGTTGGCTTGGAAAGTTCAATGGGTTCAGCTTCCATTTCTTCAGGTTCGATATTAGGTTCAGTATAGATAGTTCTATTCCTTAACTTCATTTCTTTTTGAGATTCAGATTGTTTTTGAGCTTCTTTTTGAACTTTTCTGTTTGTTCTATATGGTTGAGGTCTGGGTGCTCTTGTAATATAAACTTCTTCTTCTTCAGTTGAATAATCTTCTTCTATAGCTGCATAGTTAATCTTTCTCCTAGTTGAGGGTTGGCTATTTATTTGATATCTTTGTTCTTGTGTAGAAAGATATTCAGATATGCAATCTCTAGCATAATGTCCTTTTTCACTACATCTGAAACAGGTAATATGGGGTTTAAAATTATTGTTATTATTAAATCTGGGTTTGGATATATTAGAAGAATAATTTGTTTGTCTTGGCTTGGGTGTGTAGGATGGTTCAGCTTGAGCAGTCAAGGCAGAAGCAATTG